CTCAAAAGAGGATCAGGTAAGAAAAGGAGAACCTCACAGCCCCTAAGCAGCAAAACCGTGCAGGGGAGCAACCCAGGCAGCAGAGCCCTCGAACCCAGATCTTGAAAACCAAAGAACTGTCATGGGATTTCCCTGGCCACATTATTTCAGAATGTCATGGTCAATCTCCCCAAGATGTCAGATTGAGTTAGCCCAGTGGTCGGCAAACTCATTAGTCAACAGAGCCAAATATTAATAGTACAATGATTGAAATTTCTTTTGAGAGCCAAATTTTTTAAACTTAAACTATATAGGTAGGTACATTGTTATTAACTTAATTAGGGTACTCCTAAAGCTTAGGAAGAGCCACACTCAAGGGGCCAAAGAGCCGCATGTGGCTCGAGAGCCGCACTTCGCCGACCACGGACTGTTAGACAAATTCGGGAGTCTGACATTTTAATAGTACTGAGTCAATATTGCAGGAACATAGTATTCCTATCAAAATCCTCTATGGACTTGACCTTTGCTATCCAAAGTTAATGTTTTACTTTTATCACTTTTGTGTTCTTCTTGTTCTATGGACTGGTTTGCTATTTCTGTAGTGATTGCAAAGTTATGCGCACTTAAAAACTAAGTAGCTACCTCCAAAATTTTGAAAACATTCTTATCACTTCCCTCTTAGAAACGAAAAGCCAGCCTACTCCCCAGTAACACCTCCACTTCCTGTTGTGTGTGTGTTTCTTTTTGGTGAACAATCTGGAATTGTAAACTTACACACAGTAAAATTCACTTTGGGGGTATGTGTATGGACAAGTTCTGACACTTGCAGAGTCATATAAACACCACCAAAACCAGGACACAAAACTATTCCCTCTCCCCCAAAATTCCCTTGGGCAGCTCCTTTGTAGTCAAACCCTCCACTCACCCCACCTGCTAGCAACAATCGACCTGTTCTCCATCCCTACAGCTTGACCCAGTCTCTGATTTTTATTAGTAAGTGTAACAAGACTACATTTTACCTGGTTAGTTTTATTGGCTTCTGGCTTACACTCCATATAGTGAAATAACTTTAGACCTGCTTTTGTCAGTTCTATTATTAACTCATTTCTGGCTGTTCTAAAATGTTACAGAACACTCAGGGCTAACTCACTTGTTTCGTACCATGCCCCACAGAGAGCTGGGAGCCCAGCATTCCCAAAGCGCGAGTACTCGTACTTCTCTGTGAATACCAAGTTTTCCTTGTGCACCACATTACGTGCCCATGCCTCCTAACTGTCCATTTGAATCTATTACGCCCAAAAGGTAACTTCTTCCTATCCTAGGCTTTATAGAGCCTTCTTTCAAAACTGTATGCTGCTTGGTCCAAAGACATTATAAATGTGTAAATTACCCTGGGTCTGACGTTCATGGTCGGGAGCGACCTGTATATAAATTTTAAAAACTAATTCAGTTATTAAACATTCCATCTATCGAATGATATGATCTAATGTTCAGAAATGAGACTGATGTAATTTTTACCCCTTATCTGTATTCTTTTAGAGTTGAAATGAGGTGATGGTTTTACCTAGTTTCCAAGCAACCAGAAGACCCACTCACGTAATTCATGAATTCCATGGCGAAACCACTCACTGACTGTTTAAGGAACTGCTTTTTGTTTGCATGACCAGGTGAGTAGGAGCTGACAGAGACTGCAGCTATGTGTATGTGGTGATCAAAGGGTTCTGGAATTCAACTTTTACCTCTGCCACAGATAAGGCTATTTAGGTGGTTGTAATAGCCGCCATTAAGGATATTTGATCTTTAGAACAGGGACGCAAAGTGAAAGGCCCCCAGTGTGTGAGTGGGGCACTTCAAGGTTTGGAAACTCTCAGGGTGACGATGAGTATGCCAATCAGACGCGGACGAGCAGCTCAGGCATACAGCAGTCCTGCCTGCTCTGCACATCTGGGCCCCGGAGGCGGTAAGAGCGCTGGGCCTCGAACCAGCACGGGGCAGGGCTCAATGTGCCCCCCTCCTCCCCCGACTCTTGCTTGATTAACACCCCTGTGCTACAGTCCACTATCTCTTCAGTGGGGTTGCTAAGAAGCTGTTCTCATCGTTCCTGTGAGGATTAAGTGACCTAACGCCGTGGTCGGCAAACTGCGGCTCGCGAGCCACATGCGGCTCTTTGACCCCTTGAGTGTGGCTCTTCCACAAAATACCACATGCGGGTGCGCACGTACAGTGTGATTGAAACTTCGTGGCCCATGTGCAGAAGTTGGTATTCTGTGGAAGAGCCACACTCAAGGGGCCAAAGAGCCGCACGTGGCTCGCGAGCCGCAGTTTGCCGACCACTGACCTAACGCGTGCAGAGCTTCCCACAGCATCTAGCACATGGTATTGCTTTCCAATAAAAATGTATTCAGTTGCTATTTGACAGGGTCAGCACCAGAAGTTTCTCTCAAGACTTTATGTTGGAAAAAACCCTTGCTCCCTGTTTTAACTGAACACATACTACCTACTCTCAATTCTTTTTTTCCTAAAACTATGCAACACATCAGAACAATAGCTTGACAGCCATTCTTTTTATACCTACTGCCTGCCAGGAAAGTGTGCTTAGTGAAGAAAGAGACTAACAGTCAAGGATAGACACAAAGAGGCCATTATAAAGATTCAGTGAATGTTTTACATGTGCCAGGTATTGTTCTAAGCACTTTCTAGGTGTTATTTAACCCTGATGACTATCCTATGATGTTATGTTAACATTTCCATTTTACAGAAGATCAAACTGAGGCACAGACAAGATAACCAAGCCTGTACAGCTAACAGGCGACAGAGCTGGGGGAGAAAGCAGGCAGTCTCCTAGGTAGAGGATCCACCCCATTCCACAATCGTAAATGCAAGAGGAAAAGGTGCCGAGGATACCATGGGGACAGAGGAAGGGAAACTAACCTAGTCTGTGGCATAAAAGCGGGTAGCTGGAGAAGGGTTCCTGGAAAAGATGTGAAGCCTGCAGCGAGTTCATCAGCTACAAAAGGCAAGGCTATGCCCAGCAGGCCCAGCAGAGAAGAGTGTGTGAGGGAAAGGACGCGTGTGGAATTGGTGAACGTGCTGTGGGAAGGTCCTCACAGATTTAGAAAGTATAACCCTGTACCCACTTCTATCGACCCTTTAGTACATTCCATAGCTGCTCAATGAATATGCAACTTTGGCCAGTTGATGGGGCAAGGATTAACACCTGACCATAGCGAAAAATCAAGGCTCAAGGAAGAAGGACTAGCCTGAAGCAGAAGTCACTGAGCCAGGACTGGAACCAAGGCCTAGCGCCTCTGCTGCCACATCATAGCCTAGACCCCTCCTGCCCAGTGGGGCAGGGGGAAATGCCCACCTATCTCTAAAGAGCGCCCAGTGAGACGCCTTAGCTGGCTCTCCCCGTTCAGTGGGCTGTGAGAGAGGCACGGTCCGTGCTGGGAACCTGATCTGCACCCACCACACCACAGAGCGGCCTCTGGTGGGAGAGCGCAAGGGCTGGGAAGCCAGCGACCTCATTTAAACCCAGGCTCTGCCACGGCACCTCCATGGACCACCTCACACCTCTGTTTTTCTCTTCTGTAAAGTGGGGTGGTAACACCAGGATTTAAATGAATCAATACTTGTAAGAACAGTGCCTGGCCCATAAAGTGCTCAAGTTAACGAGCATTTGTTAACTCAACCAACCTGTAATCTTCCCCTTAATTATTCTCTCAGCTCTCTACTGGGCAACTTGGTGTTTTTTTCTTTAAAACCGTTGGGTTTTCTAATTGACCAAAATCAACTAAGACTAGAATAAGTGTGTGAATATACCCTCTCATGTCATTACTTCACAAGAACCTTAAAAGTGGTCTCCACGTTTGGTGATAACCATCAACTCTATAGTGTTAGGTAGAATATAAAGGTTTTTAGAAGGTAAATAACTGGGAAGTAAAGTACTGAAGCCTCAACTATCTATTTTTAGGCTTATTTTAGGATACATATACCTCCTGATATCTGGGATTAAGCTCATAGTTGGCACAATTACCTATTCTTTCAAAAGAAAACCGTTTAGCTAAGTAGCATTCCAGATTTCCAGCCACGTACCTGACAGTCATCCACATCTATTTCAAGGAACACCACATTGGAATACTTTTCAGAGAGGGACTGGAACATTTTAAATGAAAAATACACAAAGAATTAGAACTTGTTAATGGCAGTTAATACCCAACCTTCTTAAATGAAAATGTAATAAAAGATGCCAAAATTTAGACTAGGGACAAGGGTAAGCATAAAGGACATGGAAAATAACTCGAGGCCCCAATTTCAGAGAGCGGGGCCCATGTTTCAAAATGAACTAAAGCAAAACCAGTTAAGACAGTGGTTCTCAACCTTCTGGCCCTTTAAATACAGTTCCTCACGTTGTGACCCAACCATGAAATTATTTTCGTTGCTACTTCATAACTGTAATGTTGCTACTGTTATGACTCGTAATGTAAATATCTGATATGCAGGATGGTCTTAGGCAACGCCTGTGAAAGGGTTGTTCGACTGCCAAAGGGGTCGCGACCCACAGGTTGAGAACCGCTGATTTAAGACAACTGTATTAGCTTTTAAAGGTTGTCTTCAATGGGCGACATGTGTCAAAGCTAACTTACTTAGATTGTTACATTATTACTTTTAGACCAAAGATCAGACAACAACCAACCCACAAACTATTGTGTTTTTTTTTCTAGGGTCGTGACCACCAACTCAAAGAACAGAAATCTCTTCAACAGCAGAAGGTGTTTAATACTCACATGAAAGAAGGGCTTGATCATCTTGCAAGGCCCACACCACGCGGCGGAGAAGTCAACCACGACCAGCTTATCTCCTGCGCTGTTCAAGGCTTCCTGAAAAGCATACTAGGGGGAAAAGAAAGGCGCGTGTTAAAAGGCCCCAGTAAAACCTGACAAAATGTGACACAAAGCACAATTCAGAGGTCCTGGAAGCAAAACCTGTCTTTTAATAGAAAAACCCAAGGAAACTACTTGAAAAAAAAAAAAATCCTTTGGTGGTGTTTGTAATATTGCTTGATAAGATGAAACAGGTGTGTGTACAGTGTGTATCAATATTCACGTGTCTATGAATATTTTATAAAATATTAGTCAATCTATATCCAAACTAAGGAAAAAATAGACATTTGTATTAAAAATGTCTCCACATCAAATCTAGGTACAGTGTAACCTCGTTTCTCAAACTTAATTCGTTCCGGAAGGTTGTTCGAAAACCGAATCATTTTTCCCCATTAGAAATAATGTAAAGCGAATTAATCCATTCCAGACCCCCAATGATTCCGTTTTAACCTTTCTTCTTTTTTTTTTTTTTTAAATATATTTTATTGATTTTTTACAGAGAGGAAGGGAGAGAGATAGAGAGTCAGAAACATCGATGAGAGAGAAACATCGATCAGCTGCCTCCTGCACATCTCCCACTGGGGATATGCCCGCAACCCAGGCACATGCCCTTGACCGGAACCGAACCCGGGACCCCCGCAGTCCGCAGGCCGGCGCTCTATCCACTGAGCCAAACCGGCTTCGGCCTAACCTTTCTTAATACACAGTATATGTCTATTCTGTTTAATCTATAAACGAATACTTTATATACAAAAAGGACATGAAGTGTAAATGAAAATTTAACAAAAAGTAAAGGAAATGTACAGTAAAAATGAAAATTTTACAAATTATCAGCAGCAACAAAAGCAAAAAAAAAAAACCACAAAAATATTCACAGCACAATATCCTGATATCTTAACAGTAGTAAACTGACTGATATTTGTGCAATTTCTCCTTTGTCTGTCTCCTGAGAGATGTGTGACTCATCATACAGGTATCAGCATGAAAGGGTTGTCAGGTTGAGAAGCGAATTGTTCGAGATGGGAGATGTTCGAGAAACCAGGTTCCGCTGTATTTTGGACACATTTATTAAATGCTTAACTGGTGAAAGGGGATCACCTGAATTAAGAAGTCACAAAGACACAGAATTTTGCTATCTACAACACAAGTTTGTTTGTTTCTTTTAATCTAACACTTTTTTCATTAAATTAATATTTCCTATGGTGGAACTTCCCAAAAGCAAAAGAAAGGAAAAGTAACCTCCTCCAATCACTGGCGACATGAAGCATATTTCCTTGGAGTTTCCAGAGTTCAGATCAGAACTGTGTATGGTTGACTTCTGCCCTTTATCTCAAAACTCTGCCCTCATTGTTGACCAAATGAAAGCCAGTTCTAGTTCCTCCTAAGGAATGCGCGTTAAATAAAATGCCAGGAGCAGAAATGACCAAGAAATCCCTTACCACCAACCTCCGTGAATAATTTACTGATGGTCTTGATACTGTAACCCTGGGAACCTAACCTTTCAGTTAAGAAACTCATTTTAACCACAATTAGTCAGTCAGTGCTGATCAAAACCAGGGCAACGAAGAGAAATCAAAACACAAACATCCACATCTAAAGTCTAGGTTTTCTTCAAGGAGAAAATGCGGATCACACTGGTTTAATGAAAAACTAACGTTCCCCTCCTTTGACAGCTAAGAATCTGATTAGATCTGGACCAGTCGAAAGGGAAAGTAAATGAGTCACCATTAAAACCTCAAGTGAATTCCCCTGAAGTAGTTACATCTCTAGATTTCTAATTTCTACTTTTCTGGGAAATAATTCACAAATGGTGTTTCGAGAATGGCATGTCATTACTTATGCACCCTTTTCAGTTATGCGGGTACAAACTGTCCCCCTACCTTTGGGGGTCTGTGGGAGCATCAAGTTAGAATGATAGAAACTGGCCCTAGCTGGGTAGCGCAGTTGGTTAGAGCGCCATCCTGATATGCCAAGATTGCAGGTTCCATCCCTGGTCATGGCACATACAAGAATCAACCAATGAATGCAGAAATAAGTGGGACAAATTCCTCCACCTCCCCCTCTAAAAGGTTTTTGGTCAACAGTAGGCTATTTGCGGGGAATCAAAAGTTCTACCCACATTTTCAATTGTGTGGAGGTTAATGTCCCTAACCCCTATGTTATACAAGGGTCGACTGTATATTGTTTTGTGAACATGGCTGGCTCTCAGTAAATACTTGGTAAGATTACTTTCAACATAGAATATTATTTCAAAAACTCTCAAGGAATTCCCCCAAACAACTCAGAATCAAATTCCAGCAAAACTACCTAAAAATCTGAAAAGAAAAAGGCACGCAATAGGAACTTTGGGCTCAAATGAACCTGAGTTAGAGCCTGGTATGTGTAGACTTCACAACCATTTCTCGTCTCCAGATATTTAAAATTTACCTAAAACAGACATCAGTTTGAAAATGATTCAAAATTACCTCACTAAGAAGCAAACCACAATCCCTAGATACCAGAAACTAAAAATGAAGATTAAAGGTCCTCTTCACTGACAAATATTTTAATTCTTTTTTAAAATCCTCTCCCAAGGGTATTTTGTCCATTGACTTTTTAGAGAGAGGAAGGAAGGAAGGAAGGGAGGGAGGGAGGGAGGGAGGGAGACGCCTTAGCCCGTTTGGCTCAATGGGTAGAACATTGGCCTCCTGCAGGCCTGCAGACCGAAGGGTCCCAGGTTCGATTCCAGTCAGGGGCAGGCTCCTCCCTGGCCCAGAGCCCTGGTTAGGGCACATGCTGGAGGCAACCAATCGATATGTTTCTCTTACATCAATGTTTCTCTCGGTCTTTCCCTCTCTCTTCCACTCTCCCTAAAAATCAATGGAAAAATATCCCGAGGTGAGGATGAACAAAAAAAAAAAGGAGAGGGAGAAACAAAGACATCAATGTGCGAGAGGCACATCAACCGGTTGCCTCCTGCATAACCCCCTAGTGGGCCAGGGATGGGGGTTTGAACCTGGACACCAGGTGTGTGCCCTGGTGGACTGGGAATCGAACCTGAGACCCTTCCGCGCTTGGGCACTCTTAACCACAGGGCCTGACACAAATATTTAAAAAACAAGTTAGGCGGGGTACATAAATAGAAGCAGGGTCTAGCATCTCTTTCCCTAAACACAACCGTTCCACAGATAATTAATGAAAGCACAAGAGTAGTTGGTAAAGCATTTAGCAAAGTGCCTGTGTTCAATAAACGGCAGCTGTTATTTAAAAAACAACAATAATGAAAACGAAGAAAAGAAGCTGTGTGATTTCCTCCTCATGGAATTATCCCAATTGTATCTGAAATAGATCCCAGTGGCTCCAAGCTACCAACACCCCAGGAAGCGCTGTTCTGGAAAGCCAACGGCACCAAGTCCACCAAGACAAAAATCTCAAGTGTATTTAATATTTACAAGTAACATTCAAATTAGTTCACTTTTTTTTTTCCTTTTAATATAATGTATTGACCTTTTACAGAGAGGAAGGGAGAGGGACAGAGAGCCAGAAACATCGATGAGAGAGAAACATCGATCAGCTGCCTCCTGCACACCTCCTACTGGGGATGTGTCCGCAACCAAGGTACATGCCCCTGGCCGGAATCGAACCTGGGACCATTCAGTCTGCAGGCCGACGCTCTATCCACTGAGCCAAACCAGCCAGGGCTGAATTAGTTTACTTTTTGACTAATGACTCTGATTATCAGAGCCTAATGTAGTGCTTCTTTGAGGAACAAATTTCTGACCACCCTTCTCCATCTCACTGGTTAGGGGAGGAGCGTGCCATAGATAGGACCGTGAAAACGGAAAAACTGAAACGTGTGCTCCCGGAATCACTCAGTTTTCTGTCTGTGCTGTACGGATTCTGAGACTACTAATCTAGACTTCCTCAAAGTCTTTCCACTCCTTTCACGGGTGCTCACCTGTTAGGTTACACCGAGGTGGCCAGACCCTGGACGAAACCCCCCACCCCGGAAGCTGATGTTTCTCATTCAGTAGGTATTAAATAAAAGTATGCAGAACAAAAATCAATATTAAGGACCTCTGTTTTCAACAAATGAGAAGGCTGCTGATTTTAATATAAATGCTCACAATTTAAAAAAATGAATCCCAATAGGAGGATAAAATCATTAAGGACAAGCAGATACTAAACTACAAATTGCCAATCAACACGTGTGGGAGAAGAAAAGTCAGTCAGTCACTAGTAATCAATCAGAGAAATTCCAATGAGAATGAGACTTTTCTTACTAAGGATCTGGCCAAAGTTATGCGGGAAAGTCAGAGATGAAAGGAAAGGGAGGGGCACTCACATGCTTCTTGTGGCAATTACAGGCCTTCAAGGTTCCCACCCCTTAACCCAATCGCTGCACTCCAGCCCCTAAGCCCAGCACAGGGCGTTATGAAAACAGTCACCGAAGCCACAAAAACTGCCTCAATGCCCAGCAGCTTCTGATTACATGTAAACCGTTCAGGCTAAATTAGACAGGAAAATAAAAGCTCCGAAACAAAATAGCATATAGACATAACGTAATCTCAATTACTTTGTGTCTTGTAGGACATAGCAAATCCCTCTCTTCCCAATTTTTCTACAACGATCACATATATATTTTCTGGTTCTAAGAGTGACAACAAGGTAAGGGGCCATTACAGAAAAAAAAGAGAGGTTCTCGAAGCCCGCCCCGGCATCTAAAGGGTCCAGGGCACTCAAGGTGGGCGCGGGCCCGCCTCTGGGTAGCTTCACTGGGGTGGGAATATCGCGGGGTAAATGCTTGAGGTTCTTGCACTGTTCGAGCGACCTCAATTCTCTCCCAGTCACTTTTCTGAATCTGCATTTAACAAACATTTTTGGAGTGGCTACAGTATACCGGACGCTATGTGAGGCTCTTGAGTTTTCCAGGCGTGAGGGTATCTGTCTCGCAGTAACTTTTCTGCCTGGGACATCCTAAAAGGATGGACCCACCGTCTGGGTACCCGAAAGCTGCTCCCAGGGGCATTCCTGGCTCCAGCGAGAGCCACGGGCAGTGGGTGAATCACACGGGCGGGCAGCGCGGCGGAGGTCCCTGGGCCCAGCTTTGGGGACTGAGTCATTCCAAAGCCAGCGCTGCCGGAAACACGCCCCAGCCGCAGGAGGAGGAGTCCCGAGGGCGCGGCCCGGACCTCACTTCCATGCCGGCACCTGAGCCCCTGGGGCTTCGAGGCCGGCATCAGACCCCCGAGGAAGGGCAGCGGGGTCTCCGGCCCGGAACCACCCCCTTTGCGAGGGTACAGGCCGAGTCACGTGTGGGGCACAGCACTGGTGGAGGCAGCCGGGGTCTCCGTCCTGGATCCGCTCCTATGGAAGCCCACCCCACCAGCGCGTGTGGATCACGCCACTCCCCGGGGAGGGTGTGGCGGCCAGCAACCCCGGTGTTCTCCAAAGAGCCCTCCATTTCCCGGCCTGGGCGCGTATCCGGATACATAGGGGGCCAAGAGTAGACTCCCTGCTCCCAAGCGAGAGTTCCCAGACAGGGGTGGTGCAGGAAGCGCAGTGAGGGGCCGCCCGTACACTCCACGCGCGCGTGCATCTCCCCCAGCTCACTGGGCACCCCGACCCTGCCCTCCAGGGGGCTCCCGTCCCTCTCCTCCCGGCCCCCAGGGCATGCTCCGGCGCCTAGAGCGCGCCCAGGCCCGGGCTTCTAGCAGCCCCAGGCCGAGCCGCCGCGTCCCCTTCCTCCGGGATGCGGAGCGGCGGCCTGCCCACCTCCAGCCCAGCGCCTTCCCCGGCCACGGGGGCCGCGCGCCGCGCCCTGGCCTGGCGCGTACCTTGCTGTCGATCTGCTTCACCATTTTGGCGGCTGAGGTCTGACCGGCGACCGGAGGGGGCGATGCAAGTGGATGAAAAGCTGCAGACTGA